TATATATATAATATCGACGCTGCATGCGTAGTCAGCTGTTGTCAACATTGTATTTCTCGTCTGTTGTTTACGCTGAATATTCCGTGATGCCGTACCGATGTAAAATTCCCAATTGTGCAAAAGAATCGAATCACACTTTTTTTTTCTTCTCCCAATCTATTGATTCTGTCCAATAACACGCCCATTTTAATTACTCATTACGACAGCAGAGGACTGCGGTTTCCCCTCTGTCACATAGATGTGTCCACGTACAATCACGGCTACAGCTACAGCTACCTCAAATTTTTTTGTATGTTTTATCGACATGTTGTTCCCTGCCTTATCTTCTGAGGTCGATAAAGCAGAGCTCGCTATACCATTCGGCTAAATCGAAAATCCGCAGTATTTTTAGGCGCCTAATTCGAATAATCTCAAACTAAAAATTACAATAAAGAATAGGCTCTTGGGTTGGAATAGTTGAATACATGTTGTACGATAGTATAATTATACGGGAGTTATATACCTACCATTATTGATTTTTTAGCGTCATGCTCAATAATACAATTTCATGGATTCTGCTAGTTCCNTTCAATAATACAATTTCATGAATTCTGCTAGTTCCATTTCTACAAGGAGATCAATGCAAAGGTTCTTACAAGTTCTAATTCCCATTAACGTAATCCAAGGGCTGAAGACTAAAGAAATTTTCGTCAAAAAAATTCATTGGTAGATATATTATTCTTAGGATTATTTTCTTGGCTAGAATCTATATCCGTTATCATTTTTAATCACATAAAACCGTCAAATACTGTTGTAATTCCGCCGGTATATTCAGACTACAGTTAATGACCTTACAGTTATCAATTTTTTACCGTAAATACAAGTAAGAAGATATTAGTTCATCAAGAGTAGTCATATCTTCAAGAGTACATTGAAGTAATTCTTGATTGGAGGCATTAATTAATTCCGCTGCCTAACTATTTTGTATTCAAACGTTCAGCATGATATTTATTCATGGCTGCGGTATATCACTGGCTTGAAGAGTCAATATAATAGTTTTTTGTTTTATTATCACAATTCCTAAATATGTCGTATTAATAATTGATATGGCTACATCGGCGCAGTTATAAAAAGAAAGTAGACATAAATCGCACCATTATAATTATCGATGTAGTCGATTATTTTTCGACATATTGCTAATGTTTGTTGAAGAAATTCTGCTGTAAAAACTTGTAAGAAAATATTATATCGCCTGATCAGAAGTGTCGACCGAAGGTGAAATTACATTTTAATTTCATTGTTAAATCTGAAAATAAGAAATCCAGATGATAGGAAGTTTTTTATTCGTAAATTTGTAGTACTCTGAAGCTTGCCATTTGGGGGCTGTGACCTCAACCCTTCATAAAGAACGAGAATTTGCATCCCATATAAATTTACATAGGATGCAACTTCACACTGTTCACGAACTTATTTTGACGATTGTACCAGGGTTGAGCAAGTAAAATACGACCGATATTTTACCAAACTTTCTACATGTAAAAAAATAAGTCATTTATGAAGAAGGTTTTAGACCTTTTGGCCGCGTGTGCCTAATTGAGAGCAACATATTTGCTACGGCGCGAGAACAACCCCGTTGAGAGGGGGGTCGAGCTCTCTTATCATGTGCAAGTCTTGCAAGGGTCATGCCTTGCAAGGGTCACACCTCGCGAGGATCAAACATCGCACTACCAGGTACCAGGGTTGGGAAGTAAAATACCACCGATATTTTACCAAACTTTCTACATGTAAAAAAATAAGTTCTTTCCCAAGAAGATTTAGACCATTTTGCACGCGCATGTTCGTGATTGAGAACAGCACATTTGTTATGTCGCGAGAATAACTCCGTTAAGAGAGGGGCTTGAGCTCTCGTATCATATGCAAGTCTTGCAAGGGTCATGCCTTGCAAGAGTCAAACATCGGCATGGTCATACCTCGTGCGGGTCAAACATCGCAAGGGTCATACCTCGTGAGAGTTAAACGTGGCAATGGTCGAACAGCGGAGATAGGCAGGACAATTTCAAAGGTCAAATACCAACAAGCAATCGGGGAGGAAGGGGCGACCACCACAAGATTCCAATGATTATAGTTCTCGCCACAACAGAATGGTCATGGCTGAAAACCCCCATTTTCTCGAATTTAGTTCCGATTCGACGTCCCCCACCACTCAGATCCAAGACCATTCTTTTCTGACGGCGATAATACCAGGGTGAACTGGGAGAAGAAGGCAGGACAATCACAACGGTCCAACGATTAAGAAAACAGATGGATCGACGGCTACTCAACACGAGGTCGATTTGTTTACTCGATCGATGGCCGGTCGATTGCTGGTTTTTGATCACTAGTAGAGGGATAGGCGATCGATGGTCGATGGTCAATTGTTGGTGGATTGCTAGTTGATCGATAATCAATCGTTGGCTGATCGATGGTCGATCAATTGAACCGTGATCGAGTCGAACCCCCTATTGAGTGATCTGTCAGGGGAGTCTAACGGAGGAGATATCATGATTCTCGCGAGGTATAACCCTTGTGACGTCTGAACATTGCAACGTTAGCCCTTTGTAAAGTATGGCTCACGGGGCAGGACCCTTGCGAGATATGACACGTGCGAGATTTGATCCTCACGAGGTACGACCCTGTCGATATTTGACCCTCGTAAGGCATGATCTTTGCGAGGCATTACCCTCATGACATTTGGCCCTTGGAAGGTATGACCTTCGCAAGGTATACTCCTCGTGAAATTCAATCACGACAGTTACTGCACTGAGAGTCGGGTTAAGGGGTTTCTATGTTCTATGTTTTTGAGGCCGTCCAACTTCCAAGTTTTACGGGCCGTTGCCCCTTTTAATCGGGACGTTTCGTTTATTAGGAGATGGATAATGTCGACAAAAAGGGCGGTTATCCCTTTTAATTGGGATTTTTTCTTTAATAGCGGGAGTCGATTGCAAAGGTTATAAAATTCGATGAAGAAAAAAAAGGCCGTTATGTCTCTTCATTAGAATTTTTTCCTTAATAGTGAGAGTCGATCGGAAAGATTATAAAATTTGAGTCATTTTTTGAAATATCACTGATTGACGGCCATTTTTCGGTTAAGGGGTTTTATACCAGTTATTTACCTTGTTTACCAATTCGAGATAAATTACCAGTATTCTACTATATACAATCATTTACTAAAGTTCTGAAACGATCTGAACTTGCATCCTACGTATTTTGTTTCAGAACTTTAGTAAATGATTGTACAATCGTCAAAATAATTTCGTAGACAATGTGAAGTTGCATCCTGTATAAGTCTATCGATATGGGATGCAACTTCACGTTCTTTACGAACTTCTTTTGACGATTGTACTACAGAAAACCCCAATTTTCAGTGAACGACCTAACCCTGCCATGTAGCATCCTACTCCTATGTGATTTTATCCTGTTGCTCTCACTCTCCAAAACCCAGAATTTTATTACCCTGAAGTAGAAATGGTGCTTGCCTCTTCAACAGTTAGAGGATATAATCATACCGATCATCAAAAGAAGAATTTCATTACCCATCTGGAAGTTTTGAGTATTATTACCATTACATACATTATCATTTGTAGAATAAAAACGTACGGGTTCAAATTTTTCCAATCAAATATTTTCCTCAGCAATAAAAGTTTAACGCCCAATTTGGAACTTTTGTATTTCCTCTCGCTAAAAACTGTCTTCAATGAAACAAACCCACAGACTATTGTGGTCGCCGAATCATATTCAAGATCTTGATTATGCAAATAAGAGTACCGTCATTAAATCAAGTTTATTGTCACGCCTGAAAAATGATTAGAAAATTCAAGGATAATCTAATTATGGATTTAGGACAAATAAATCATGGGTACACAGTAATTTGTCAATTTGGAGGGGAATGGATTAACCTTTATTTTTTTTGTTATTCCCAGGTTCTCTCAAAAATATAACAAAACTCAAATTATTCGAAATTTTTTCCCTTACATAATAAAACAAAATTGTAAATAATCAACATTCGCCGGTGACAAATGTATTGAAATAATAATTTTATCGATCCAACTTATGAATAAACATGAGCATGACATGATTCATATTAACACTCATAACACTTGATAATAAATCAAACAAAATACTTTGCAGTCAACAACTACTATAGTATAATGAAGAAGAAATAATATTTTTGATAATTATACCGTTAACTCGCATTGAAATGAAAAGTTTTAATGTGAAGAGTCACACATTTGTATAAAATTAAAAAAAGTAATCAAAAACGTCTCATACATGTATTTATTGGCTCTAGAGCCCTTCAGTGATGACAGGATGATCGCGAGCGATTTCAGCAATAGCAAGGATGCTCATCATACCATGCTTGAAGACAACAGCAAGATTATCAATAATCGTCTGGACCTCTTCCTTGTTTTCAGCAATAACTGACCCTGGTTTGCCTTCCTTGCCGTCCACTGGAGTAGTAATAATCATCCTGACGTAGTCTTCACCTCCATGCTTCCAGTACGAGTGAAGATCATGCAGGCCAATTCCGTGCTCCACGATACGGTCAATAGTTTCGTTTTCGAGTCCAACGAATTCATGCTTATCACTGATTGTGACCTTGAGTATCTCAAGATCCTTTCTCAGGGCATGCTTCCATTTACGTTCGGTAGCATCATTGATGATACCCTCTGCAGGCTTATGATTATCAATCAACTCAGCAGCAGAGATCTTGATACGAGGATGATTGACAAGTCTGTGAAGCCATTTCACATGAACAACTGAGTCGAGTCTTGTTTTTCTCATGTAAAAAATCTCCAGCAAGTTTTGAAAGTTTGAATCCATTTTTCTCGTCACGTCCATCTTTCAATTTCTTTCTGAAGAGCCCAAGTACCTCAGAAAATCCAAAAACAATTTTTTTGAAGTCGCTGACCTTGTCCACCTCATACATCAGCCCACTGAGCATTGGAGCATCATAATAGATGCAATTGTGAGCAACGAGGAGCACTTTCTCGCCAATTGACTTCAAAAATTCCACAAAGGTCTCAACAGCTACGTCTTTGGATACTGCAGGCACTGGCTGACACTTGTTGTAGCAATCGAGCATACGATTCTTCGATACGAATAGCCCTGTCAGATCTGCCACCTCCTCTGCAATTTCCCCCTTGGGCATGACGTAATCAGAGTATTCACGATCTTCATATCGCGCTGCGAGTTGAATGACCTCGGCACCACCAGTGAAGCCGGTTGATTGAACATCAAAGTAGACAATTTTCAGATTTGAAGCGTTGTCTTTCACAGTTTTTACAGGATTTTCAGAATTCTCAACGAGGGTCAATCCACCGAGATGGAGTGGCAAATCCGATGACGTGTAACGCTTGGCTGCCATTTTTAGTTCAACGATTTATTTTTTCGATTTTACAACTGGAAAACAATTGCCATTGATAGTTCAATTCAGATTCTCAGAGACTAATTTTTATTAATAGATGACAATTCGTTTGGAATGAGTCGTTTACCTGTTTTTATTTAATGATTTGTATAGTCAATAATGAGATGACGAGACAACGTATCGAGTTATGATGATTGCATCAGCTGGACTAGATATGAATTGAAGTGAGTCGCGAACACAGTCTTCAAGTGTTTCGTGTCAAAAGAGAACTCGGCGTATACTCCCTACTCTACCCAAATCCCCCACTTATGTCCATGCTCCCCACCCCTCCAAGCAAGGTTACTTCAGCTAGTTACAGCTAGCAGGGGGCAGGGGGGAATGCAAATTTGGATTATTGCAATCGCTTGGTGGTTCGAAGGTGGTCAAAGGTAGTCCACTTTTAGCTTTTTGGTGGTAAAAATCAATTAATTATAAATAATCAAAAATTTCACCTGCAGCCAGCGGGAGGGATGCATCTTTTTGAAAAATTCAACATATGAATTTATATGTAGAATCCTGTGGTGGTCAAAGGTGGCCCAACACCAAATTCATCCATTCATTTTTTTAACTGATAATGAACAATGTTTAGCGGGTCTATCTTACCGAGAGGTACTCCCCCCACCACTTCCCACTCCGGGCCCTTTAAATCATTTCGGAGCACGTTTGAAGGTTACAAAATCTACAGTGATAGAATAATATATTACGCACGAGTTTCGTATACTATTTTATGTCATAGGGCCCAGAATCCGCGATTCTGCCGAGAGAAGCGAGGTTAGAATCGCGTGATTCTGGGCACCTATGGCATAAAAATCAAAAGCCATCACTTTCTATCATATTATAAAAATTATGAAAAGATCTAAATCCAAAGAATAGAATTGTGTGACTGAAAATACCAAAGAATTCCTCCGAGTTATAATCACCAATACATGCCTTCAGAATAGAAATGATGATGTCGAATCGAATGATGAATTCAATCTTTGTGTGTCGGAATCTTATTAGTAGAAAGTGCCGTTACTTATCCGATGCCTAAAATCAGATAGACCGTCTTCCGATATGGACGTTTATTTTATGAAAAAATTGTTTTTCAGAATAATGAAAGAGTACCTCAATGACATGGATTGGAATATACTAGGGATATGTTTCTAGATCAATTGAAATTTTATATTTCTTGAAGTCGATATATTCTCACCGCAGAGGTATTGGAAAGAAATAAAGCAAACTGGGTGAAATGAGATGCAGGTTCAATGAATGATTTTGAACTGGACGAAGCCAGGATCGGCTGATGGGGGTCGAAAACTATGGAAGCGATTGAGAATTCCGGAATATTACGAGAGATGATCACGGAAGAAAATTAATTCTCTATCGAAACAATTTTTGGAGATGTTTCACCAGACCCACCGATCTATGAAAGTCTAACAAATTCGGCAGAAAATGATTTTCACGCTGTGCATACTGCATTGTTTGCACTGTATTATTTCACACTCGGTTTCACCGTCCTGAAAAATCTTCCTCGTGTATTCCTGAAACTTATGGTTTTTCATCCAGCTGTAGAGACCTTTTGTGTCATGTACCAAGCTTTTGAAAAAAAAAATAATAATAATGGGGCTGGTATTTCTTCCTGAACCCTTGCTTCCTCGAGATGAGTTTCTAATCACATTTTACCCTGGAACAGCCTCGAGATGGTCACTACCACTAGCATAATATAGCTGGAGCTTCCTCTTCTCCTGGTGCCCGTGAATCAACGGAATGAAAAAGTGATGACTCTAAATGAATAATTCCTTTCAGGATTCACGTCATCTCGTATATGTATACTGGTCAGGTGGTTCAACTCCTTAATGAATTTATTCTGGAGCTGTCACATGGGTTCAATCAGTCTTGAACAGTGTGATTGTACTACTACTGTAGATCTAAAAAACATAGGAGCGGGGAAAATGATTTGTCATTTATCGTTGCATTTTTTTCGATCGTCATCTTCTCAGTGTCACTTCCACACAATTGATTACGATTATACTCGGACGAATAATGCTCCGTTATAAGTTCAATTATGTTTTTTTGTAGTATTCACGCCACGTTCACTAAAAAAACACAAATTGAATAGCAAAAGAACTTAAGTCTGAGATTCTTATTCATTAAACCAATTTTCTAACCTCCAAACGTGCTCCGAAATTATTTAAAGGGCCCGGAGTGGGAAGTGGTGGGGGGAGTACCTCTCGGTAAGACAGACCCGATAAACATTATTTATTATCAGTTGAAAAAATGAACGGATGAATTTGGTGTTGGACCACCTTTGACCACCACAGGATTCTACCTATAAATTCATATGTTGAAATTTCAAAAAGATGCATCCCTCCCGCTGGCTGCAGATGAAATTTTTGATTATTTATAATTAATTGATTTTTACCACCAAAAAGCTAAAAGTGGACTACCTTTGACTACCTTCGAACCACCAAGCGATTGCAATAATCCAAATTTGCATTCCCCCCTACCCCCTGCTAGCTGTAAGTAGCTGGTTACTTCAGGTGCGTTTCGCAATCGACTTAGTAGCAGTAGCAGTACTGTAACCCTAATTTCGCTTTACTGCAGCTACAGTAGTTGATTCCGAAACGCACCCTTCGTTGCCTTCGTTGACACAATTTAGTATAGATCGAAATCCTTTATAAAAAAAGCATGCATTGGAAACTGTCATGGCGGAGGACATGTAAAAAGTGTCATGGCAGCGCATGTAGGTCGCATTCTCATATGAACTTTCATGAGAATGGGCAATGCGGCCGCGACGGCGCTGTTCGAGAAAGCGCGCGTGAATTTCAAAATCGGAGTTATATGTGCATAGTTTCGTATGGATTTCATCAGTGTATATCTTCTACACACAGATGTTTATTCATATTGAGGGGAATAAGAATTTATTCTTGGTGATAAGCGATAAGAAATGACAAGGTGGTTGGAATGATTGATGATTTGATTAATTTGAACGACAAGAATGAAATGAAATATGTGGGGAATTGCTTCTGTGATTCATCTAATTTTCTTATTTTTGCTAATGAAGTAACAATGTGCTTCCGAATGGCCATTTTGCACATAATTTTCTCCTATCGTGTATGAATAATCGTTTGATAATGTTCTATCAAGTTTGTAAAATTTTTGTATAAATCAAATGAAAGAATGACACTATCAATATTTTATTGAAACTTCAATGAAATGTTATTGGGGAAATTTTTTTTTACCACATAATTTACTGAATTTTAAAAATAATAATTTTTGCTATCGCCTTCGTCTTCGAACTCGATCAAAAAGACAACACATTATTTTTAGCCATCATTCAATGAATTTAGAATATTTTCCTTTGAGTTGTCGTGGAAAACTCGATTTTTGAAAAAATGAAAAAATCAAAGAAATTAATCAATTAATCAAATTTTAATTAATTTCGATAAATAAGACTCAATATGCATACATTTGAGAAGAAAAAATTGATCAATTCCATCGATTCATTAGTGAACAATAGAAGATAAACTTTGTCATATACATTTATACACACATACGTACAGACACGGACTCAAAATTGAATTTCCGGACGTTTTAGATCATAATGGATCGTTATAACACAAAAAATCTAAGACTTAACCTTGAACGATAACAATGCTTCCATTTGAAAAAAGTGAATTTCATATTTTTTGGAATCATTCAAAGCAAATTCGTAACTTATATAAAATATTCGATTTCAGTTTTTTTATCCGATTTTGATTTTTCGAGATTTTGTTTAATGAAATCAATACTAATACCTCAAAATTAAAGAATATTGGATTTTCTTCACGAAACAAAGAAGTCAGAATACTTTTTAATCGAAGATTTTCGATCATCTAATTTCTTCATCGAATTGGCTAGAAAAAGTTTGAAAATAATGATCAGCGATTTTTTAAACAAATATTAAACAAATACTTAGTTCTTTCAACATTGCTTTGTTAGGAATAAATACCAGAAATGGTTCAAACTTCCAAAACTATTCGATAAACGGCCAGAAAATTGGATTATTATGGAATTATTTTTGTAAAGGAAGGTCGTGGTCTCCGGAAAATGCGATTTTTTCACTCATCCAATTCATTAGTCTACTCTGAAAAGTCGACTTTCTATTATTTCTCAAGATTTTCGCAATGTTTCCTGATAATTATGAGTAAATCGAAATGATACTATTGAAATGAAAAAATTTAGTTTTATGGGCAGTTCAGTAGTAGTTCTTAGGAGACATTTGATTCAGTTTGAGAGGGAAAAGAAATCTGATGGAATTCATTATTTTCTCAACGGCATGAAAATAAAAGCTCTGAAGTGACTTAGTTTTTTTTTAACAAAAAGAGAACCTAATTACTTTGTCTTTTCATTTGATAAACCAATTATCATAATTTCCCATATTATTTGAGTCAAAGGGAAATAGAATGATTCAAACGTCTTAATATTGCGTTTGCCACGAATTTCTGACTTTTCTCAGGTTGAACTACAAGAGGATATGAATGTAATACAGTGGAAATGATGATTAATTCACTTTGAATGAATAGTAATAATAATATAAAAATGAAGAGATTTTATTATGAATAAAAATCTGTGACTCAATATTTCATAACAGCAGAAATCAAGATATGTAATATTATCAGTAGTAATACCACGAGACCTCCAAAATAATCGAATATTTCCCGATTGTTTTGTTGCATAGCAACGAGGAGAACTTTTGCAGATTAAAATTTTCGTGCAAAACTTATCCCGATCGTTGATACCCAGGAAAACATGAGGGAAATGTTCGATTAATTTTGGAGGTCGAGTGGCAGGTATTCGTTTTCACTTCCTTCGATCTGGTCGTTTTCACTTCCTTCATGACTTTTTTCATTCCAAGATAATATTTGACAGTTATTTAGTTAGAGAAACAATTGCAGAGCTAGAGGTAAATTATCAAAAGCTACAGGGAAATTATCAAAAGCTAGAGCTACTTCATGTTATTGAATACTGAACTCTGATTGGCCCAGGGAAGGCCAGATCCGATCACCAAAAATAATCTGAATTATTAACATGAATTCCAGATTCACAAAAAGGATGGAGCATAGATCAAACTTTCATTTTCAGTTGCACTTTTCAATTTGGTGCTGAAAACATGAAGTGGCAATATTTGAAGCACGGAATCATATTGATGATTTGAACAACAGATGATTTAAATCACCGAGAGAACTGATTAAAATATTTATAACAGTGTTAGCATGCCCTCCTACCGGAGTATCACCGAAAATTGAAATCCAGCTATTAACTTTCTGAATTATGTTTGGGAAGTAATCGGATTATAATTACGATCAAAATGTTATTCAGTGAGCATAGGAAAATCTATTATTTCATATTAGAATACTGAAAACAATTACTTTATTTTAAGTACATGCGCAAGTTATTCATTGTAATAGGAAAATTTCACAGCTAACAAGAAATTGAAAGAGGAAGTATTGTATCTGCTACGAAAAAAGGCGTAATCAAAGGGTCACCAACATCACAGCCGCGATAGCGTGTTAAATATGAAAAGGGAGCCCTTTATCTCACCTGAGATGATAATGGAAAGCCGAAACTATTAAAACTAGGGATATAAAAATTTTAGCCTAGGTCCTAATCTTGTTATGCACTCATTAAAAGCTATTTTTTGAGAGAAAATTTCTGGTATTTCTCTTATATTGAAGAATTTTTGAGTGAAAGATGGGACAATAATTGGTGGGAAAAGATGAAATATTTCACATAAAGCTACGATAAAGGGATTGCTTGACCCAAGAAACAATTCACGACAATTTCAGAATTCTATGGAAAATTTGGAAAATTTTCAGATGATCCATCAGATTTAAGTTTATAGCATGGTCAAAAAAAATTGTGAACAAGAATTTTTTCAGCCAAATAATTGAATTCTGATTGGTTCTGCTAGATAGTGAAAATAAAAGAGGAAGGCAAAGACTACACAATTGGGGGTAGTGATCAATTTGATAATTATTGTTTTGCATTCTGAATATAATTTCAATTATAATTATAATCAGAACCTCATTTAGTGAGCCCGGAAATTCAGAATTAGTCAATCACTCATTGAAATATTCAACTGGCACCGAGCTGGATT